TTTCGTGATGATATCTTCAATTCTCTAATTTTGGTGAATATTTTAGTCATTTTTGGTAGAAAGTGATATTTTCGACTTCTTGTTAAAAACTGTAAGTCCGATTGCTTTGATACTATACATATTGTTCATTTTCTGATGATGTCTTCAGTTCTTTAATTGAAATGTGCATTTCTAACAGCGGAGCTATCTCAGCCGATAGGCTGCTTGTTTTATAATTGAGGACCAATATGGGCGCATGATTTAAACAGAAACTGACGCAGAAAAAATCACTTGTGCGCCCTATACAAATTTGCCGGTTAAGAACATAGACAAGATCTTTGACTATGCAAATAACACCAAATAAACAGCCAGGTAGATACTACTCAAATCAAATTTGGCTACGCTGTGTGACTCAGATCGCGTAGATGTGTTTCCTGCTCTCTGCACGTAATAAGTTTCACTTATTAAGCTTCATTTTTTTGGGGAATGCCCGGTGGCCAAGGCTAAGACGTGTAGTGATGTGAATCTAGGCGATTATGTGCCGCATGCGAGTGCCGGTTCGAGTCACGCATGCATTACGCGATTAAATTGATTTGACGTATTATCTACCTTGTCGTTTATTCGATTATTTGCATAATTGTCAACAGAAACTATGAATTTACGCGTGCCTCTCTTGGAATAATTTGTTGCAATAAGTGTGGGAAAATACACGCGGCAGGTACGCGCTGTGGATATCATTGTGACAGCAAGTGAAAATGGCTAGTCGACAACTTGCCACTACTATACGTGGTCAGAAACCAGAACAGAAAAGAATATAATTTTACTTTTCTACAACAAAGTCTGATGTAGATGAGCACGTCGTTGAGTCAATAAACCACAATGATACTGGAAAACAAGATCAACCAGGTGATCACAATGAAATCCGGGATGATCCCGACCAGGGGCCAGCTGCCAAGAAAAAGAAATATTCTGAGCGCCGGTACCAAACAGAGTGGGAGCAAAATAAAAAATATGCTCACTGGCTGCAGTATGACAGAAAGAATAATGCCATGCTCTGCAGTGTATGTCAATCTACCGGGAAGAAGAACCCATTTACTGCTGTGCCTGGATGTTCTAATTTCCGTACCTCAACACTGGATCGTCACATGGCTACACGCGACCACATCAAAGGTATTCAGGAGACGGCTTTACGCTCCAACTTTAACACTGCCGTGAATAAAGCACTAACAGAAAGTGACAAGGCATTGGTTTCGGCAATGCAGTCCATTTACTGGTTAGCAAAAGAGGACGTTGCCACACGCAAGTATGCATCGTTATTGTCATTTCTGAAACTACAAGGTGTCGATACTTTGGATAAATTAAATGTCAGACAGAATGCGACTTGTACATCATGACAGACAGCCGAAGAAATGCAAGATGCAATAGCAGCTGTAATATCAAAAGAAATAAAACGCCAACTTCAGGAAAGTGAATTTGTCAGTGTTCTTTCGGATGAAAGTACAGATATTTCCGTCACAAAGAAATTGGTTATTTACACACGTCATATTGACGACGACTTCAATCCAAGAACGCGAGCTATGTTGGTAATGTGACAGTGAAAGACGGGACAGTGGTGACAATATCAACAGCTTTAAAAAAAATCTGCTTGAAGAAAATTGTGTCGGGTCTCATCGGCTTTGGCAGCGACGGTGCCAGTGTGAAGTCAACCCATATACATGTATGGGTAAGCATTCACTGCATAGCACATCGTTCAGCCCTGTGCACCAGTCAGGCGGCTAACTCTGTTCCTTATTTAAAGAATTATTCCCAGGCATTAACTAATATTTATTATTATTTTTCTCGATCAGCCGTGAGGCCATCAAGAACATTCAAGCCATTCTTGATGACCCAATTCTGAAGTACAAAGAGGTACACGATGTCCGTTGGTTTTCGTTTTATTCGTCCCTGGAGACTATCTATCGTACTTTGAATCAATTGCTGATAAAGAACCAAAAGCAAAGGGATTGGCGAAAACTATGAAAAATTACGAGTTTGTGGCTACTACATATCTGCTGATGGATGTAATTCCTATATTAACACATCTTAGTATGGTATTTCAATCGAGCAACCTAGATATCGCAGTAGTCAATGCTTCATTATCTACTCGAGCCCAAATTAACGAGTTGAAAACTACTGACAGGAAATTCATGTCTAATTTTGAGGCCATGGTAACACCAGACGGTAAAAAATAGTCTGTGGTCACGTCATCAGTGCAACTGAAAATCAGAAGAAACATTTCGAAAACATAAGACAGGAATTCATTGAAAATATTCTAGATAATTTAGACGAACGTTTTCCCCAAGACGCAACAAATCTAATTACTGCATTCGCCGTTCTCGCTATGCGACAGTTAAAATTCTTGTCTGAGGAACATCTAAATGACTAGCAACAACGAAATTGAGGTTTTAATCAAACACTTTGGCGAACCTAAAACACTGGCCGACGGTGCGTTAAGCCAATTGTTGATCCCGATCAAGTGGAGTGGGCTGATGCCAAGGAGTTTGTACGTGTGCAGAAATACCCCAGAGATAGGATTGATACTTTGTGGAAAATCTTATACACATACCATCGTGAAGCTTTTCCAAATTTGCTGAAATTTGCCAAAATTGTGCTCGTGTTGCCAGTGCAGACCGCTGATTGCGAACAGGGATTCTCTGTACAAAATTGAATTAAAACGAAATCGCGCAACCGACTGGAAGCCGATCGGCTTCACGTGATATCGGCAGAGGGTTCCCCTATCGAGCAGTTTCCATTTAACGACGCACTTAAGGAATGGCGACAGTCAAAACAACGCTGTATTTTCCAAAATTAGATGCGTGACTAGCATAACAATTACAATGTAAAATAAAGGCAGTAGGCTAGATGTAAAGTTTATATCTATGTTGACATTTTCTCATCAAAATATTGCAACAAAAATGTTCATTTCTAGTTCATTTCAAGTGTTATGTAAACAATTGTTGCTAAGTAGGTCATTTTGTATATAAACATTCATACAGTGACTGTAACAGAAAAGACATCTTTTATGTGTTTTATAATAATAAAAACAACTTACCTGATCTCAGTTTATTGTACAATTTATTATTTTTTTCCATTTATTTTTGTTACATGTGCAATTGAAATCAGTGCAACTGTAATGGCTACAGATAAACTTCTAACTTCTGATCTTTATTAGTCCAAAAGTAACTATTTGCCCACTCAACTTGAGTCTGTTACATCAATACATATGGAGAATGATTAACTAAAATAAAGAAAATACAAACAATATAGGTATAGTCAAATAGAGCTATGAAAAGCCCTAACCCTACTTAAAGTACATATACAAAAAATAAAACCCTACATAACGTCTAATAAGCTGACTAAAAGCAACTAAATGAATCGTACAGTACATCGATAAATTACGAAATAAATGTATTAATATACGCAGTAAGATAGTCAGTATGATATCAGAAAATCAAAATGCACATGGAGTGACCATACAGTAACGATGATAACTTGATGCCCGTAACAGGCAGGAATAGTCTGATTTTCAAAAGTATAACATTCATCATAAAAACTATTCAATGGAAGTAATGTACAATACTCTTATGTAATGACAATTTTCAGTGTTACTATTGAATGGACTGCGACACACGAGGTACCAATAAATCGACGTTGTCAGAAACACAAAACACATGTGTCCAATTTTCCGACGGTCAGTAGATAGCATAAAACTAGAAATACACAAGTAAATAAGTTCTTACCGTGATTTTAGACGACTCAAGCAGACCAGGCGCTATTTATCTACCGCTTTCTACTATTATAGTGTGTGGTAACTAACACAATTACCAAAACAAACGCGTATTTGACCTTCGCGTTCCTAAAACTCTGCGGCAGCCGCCATGTTTCGTCTAATGGCCAAAATACCTAACCAAAACATGTCAATAGGTGGCGCTATAACCAAATAAGGCTATAATATGTGCTTTTGGCCGTAAGTTTGGTTTGAGCTGTATAAACAATACTAAATACGTTTATCTTTATTGATACACTATTAATAATTAAATATCGTGGCGTGATTTGTTTATAATATATGATGAATGGTATATGTATCAAGTCGTTTTATGTTGAAATATATATACGCCATTTACAATGAATTGTCTTATTGCTTTTTCAGAAAATATGATTACTACAAAACTGGGACATTCATATTGTATAAGAGTACAATCAGGGATTTCGAGGTGAGGCTGTCATATTAACATTTGCTATGTTTTTAATACATTGAAAAACAGATCTATAACAGTGTTATTGCTTTATTCACTTGTAAGGTGCAAAACACTCTTTGGCCATGTGGAGGAACGTCTCACCCAGTTTCTTGTAATTGTGGGTTCGTAGTGCGAGAGAATAATGATATCATCTCAGTTGATATGTGCAAAGGAAATTTTCTTGAAACAAAACCAGAAGTGAAAGTTCTAGGACGATTTCCCCTCTCTGATGGGGTGAAAATTAAAGAAACTAAGCATGGTGGGAAATTAACTGTAAGTAATTTTAACTTCATTTTCAAAACAAAACTCTCACTTGGCTGGCTCTTTATAAGCTAAGCATGATGTGAAGTTTAATTTTAAGTAATGCAAATGTCATCGTTAAAACATAACTCTCAATTGGCTGACTCTTTATAAGCTGAACATGATGGGGAGTGTAAATGTAGGTGAGACTACCTTCATCGTCAAAACCGAACTTTTAATTGGCTGACTCTTTGTAAGCTAAGCATGATGGGAAATGTAAATGTGGGTAATACTACCTTCATCATCAAAACAAAATTCTGATTTAGTTGACTCTTTTTATAAGCTAAGCTTGATGAGAATATAAAACAAGAAAATAACACACGTTTGAAAATTTATAAAAAGGTCATTCGAATTATCTGTAATTAACAGAGTGTATAAAAATAGAGCTGGTGGAATCAAATTTAGTTTTCCGAGATTAAGACGACATAGAATTGGATGCGCAAGTAAAGTATATATTATATACAATAAATTACAAAATATGTTCCAATCAGTGGAAACAAATATATGTTGTCAAGTATTTTGAAATGAATGAGCACATCCAGCTCACATGTGGCGCTCCCATGTATAATTTTGAGTTCTGATTAAATTATTGCTACGTTCATTGCCGAAACGGAAATCAAACTTGGTTGATAATGGGTAGTAATCACAATCGATGATTCTTAAATACTATCATCATCAAAATATAACATCTAATCATCCAAACCATCTTTGTTTTTTTTTTCACAGATTGAGTTTCCATCTGGGGCCTTTGTTCGTGCTGATGTTGGTGAGTGGGGAATCAGTATCACCATACAGGCACCGTCTGTGGATTTCAATCATACCATTGGACTTTGTGGATTGTTTGATGGTAATCCTAATAATGACTTTCATGACAGAAATATGAATATTCTGAACATACCACTCAAGAAAGGACAAGCCAATGAATTTGTTGAACAGTGGAGGTGTGTTATTATTTTTACATATTTGTTATATAATACCTGAATTGGGTGGCAAACTTTGATCAAGATCTGAAGCTAATATAAAATATGTTTGGTTTAAAAACAATACATAAAAAAGTACATAAAAAAGGAAAATTGTACTAAAAAATATGTATTCCGTATTTGACAGTTCATTCGACAAATGAAAATTCACAGGAATTTGTTTCAGCTATTAGAACAGAATGATAGAGTTTGATATTACTAACGTAAAAACGCACTTCAAAAACAAAGATTACAGTGTTTGAAGATGTAGATTCTCGGGAGGCAATAGAACTGTCGACTTCTCTCTCCACTGGACACCAACTAACTATTTAAGTTGATTTGCACACAAAGCAGAGCTTGCAACATGATAGCTATTCATAGAGGGCGTTATTTACTTTCAAAATAATACAGTAGTCACACAATGAATATAATAAGACAGTTCATATTTGTCTCAGTGAATCATTATTTTTTGGCAGACACCTATACAAAATACTTCTGTTATCTTGCATGTTTTATGAATCTATTCACGTCTAAATGCATCATTTTTTTCTGAGATGACGCATTATACTAAAATATCTGAATAACTAGGAATGAAGCTGGAAATTGTGTCCCTTAAAATAATTAAACAAATTAGGCACCAATGTTTGTGTAAGATATTTACATCTATTCGTCTATTCAGTGCTTCTCCACTGTTGTTTCAACCCCCAAACTTGTTTGTCTTCAAAAGTAATTATGACAGTGCATATTCATATTGAAACAAATTATTATAAAGGGAATACTATTATATAACAAAGGGGAAGGTCACCAGAGTTCATCTATATTTTCAATAAGTGGCAGTAGTTACCTGAAAACTTGCGCGCGCATTATGTGAAGCTCTTAAGACAATCATTTAATATTCGAATTTAAATGAAAGCTGATGATATGAATATCTTCAGAAACTGTTATTATATCTTAACGGAACTTATGATTATCGTACTCTGAAATTCTGTAAGTTACAGTAATACGTGTGCAATAATACGCATGCGCTTTTATTTGGACAGTTAGTTTTTTTGAATACATGTATTTTATCAACCTATTATGTATCATTGTCATTAGAATTCGTCTTTATTTATTCATTTTTGGTCAAATATCAAATAGTTTGTGGTTATTCGCTGTTGGAATAAATGACGTTATTGTGATAGTTATAATTGATATATACATATAAATAATGACAATGTAAGTTATAATTGATATATACATATAAATAATCACAATACATACATGTTGTCAACAATATGTTACAATTTGTCGCAATTATGAGGTATCAAGTGAAAAGCAAATGCAATATAAGGAATGGTACGCAATATTTCTAAGATGGTGAAAGCTCATCACTAATTTGTAGTTCTGAATTCATGCTACTCTTAGTAGTACATATAACGGGTGCCGTTGACGCTGTAGTTCTGCATTCATACTAATAATGGTCTTATAACAACCCCTTATCTTATTTGATAGAATTCAAGACGGTGGGTTCAAGAAATTGCTTCCGTTGCCAAAATTGTATCGTCCTACAGTTCATCTTTGTTGCTGCAGTCAAATGTCGCCGCCAAACAATCAGCTTAACAACACATTACCAACAACTATAAATATGTTCAACCAAATTGATTATGAATGGAAATGCGACAATTTTAACAATGTTAGACGACCGGAAGTTATTTATTCATTTGATATCACATCATTATATGCAAATAGTGTCTTCAGTCACCGCAAAAGAAGAAGAGTAGACAGTGAAATGATGTTTAAAACTTATAGAAACAAAAATAAATTGTCAACTACAAGCGACGACGACAGTATCAATCATGGTAACTATGGTGACATACATGAGAATATTTATCAAGTACTGGGCGACATAGAAGTTAACTTGGTACCACTGGACAGGAAATGGCCAACGCCCACTGGAATAACAGAACAACAAGCTCGAACAATTTGTGAAAACAAACTTTTTAATACGAGCATTGCCAAAATGTGCAGGCATATATTAAAAGATAAAATACACGATGCTGTTGACATGTGTGTTGCTGATTTACAACTAACGGACGACCTTATATGGCTAGATCAATCGGAAGCACTTATCGAAAATCAATGTGAAGCTGCATTGCGTCTAAATGCTTCTATTTGGCAACACAACGCCCCGGCTTATACTGAACATATAGCTGAAGTATTTAACTGTCCAAACAACTGCCATGGTAACGGAGAATGTACACCAACCGGATGTGTGTGTAACCGTGGTTATAATTCACATGACTGCAGAAACAGGAAATGTGTGTAGATTTCTAGTTTCAATCACGATTTAATTTTGATTCGATTATATTTATGAAAGAGATTATCGTTGTTATTATCAGTAATGCAGTGTTCATGCATGCTTGTTTACTGCCTAACTCAGTAATGCAGTGTTCATGTGTGCTTGTTTACCGCCAAACTCAGTATTGCAGTGTTCATGCATGCTTCTTTACTGCCATACTCAGTATTGTATGCGTTCTCTTTATATCTAGCACAGGCGCCAAAGATAGTGAGTCTGGAGAACAACGGATTGTGTGATATCCGTATTCAGAATTGTACTAGGATACGTGTCACTGGAAGGCGATTTAAAAATATTGACGATTTTAGATGTATAATAACACCAGACACATCAGAGGTACGTGGCTTTAAACGTTCAGAAAATAATTGGTTATTAGCCAATTGTGACGATTCGTGCTAAATGGTACGTAAAGACATTTAACAAATATACAACAACTTAATACGATCATACCCAAAGTTATTACGAAAATACTATAAACTGTGCACGAGTGTAGTACTTTGTGGTATTCTAGAGATTATTTTACTATTATACATATTTTTCAGCTTGTAGAAGTACTTTAAGCATTATGGAAAATAACAATTGCAATGAAAAAAGTATTCAAGTTGCGCTATGTGAATATTTTTGTATAAAATTCAGTGACGGAACTATATTTCCGTCACGCGCTAAACAAAGGAAAGTGTTCAAATGTGACGTCATTATTCAATAATATCGGTAAGATAGTTCGCCCTAAATAAGGAAAGATTCGATGTTTTTAAAAGTATAGATACGTTTTGAAACAAAGGATACGGCTTATTACGGAACGGTAAATTTTATTGTTTTTCGATACTAGATGTCTCATGAGTGAGCCTGCAATGTATAGTAAAACCATTTGTTCCGAGTCTTTGGTAAGGTTATCATGTGTGAGCGTATATTCAGTATATCGTAGAGCATTCCGGCTCATTTGCAAAAACGATCGCAGTTCACAAACACCGATTACCCTTAGTTTATTGCAGTTTCAGAGATGTATTGGAAACATAATGGCTCATTTATGAGTCAAATTTAAATCGTGACCGTTTCACAATTCGTGGTAGTTCGCCACGAAACACGTCTAATATACGCGGCTTTATATCAAACACGCGTTTTAGTCGACATCTCAAACTATAAGAATTATTCGAATTATTAATAATAATTATTGTATAAAATCGCCAACATTATTTTGTGATAATCCGCAATAATTGTATTGTCATGTATGTTATTGTATTTTTCAGCAGTACCAAAGTATATTAAATGAATCAATACAAGATGCAATTTACGTCAATAAACGTACCGTATTGTGTGACTTATCTTCATTGTCACAGAAACAACAAACTCGTGCATTAGTTAAGATGGTAATCAAGGTCAGTATTTACCTCATTTTTTACTTGATTATTAGATACAATTTATTCGTTTCGTTGTAATTTCTAAAATGAATCATAAATTGTTTTGTACTGCTTTCATTGGCCTAATGAGATCTTTTTATTGTACAAATAGTAACTCCTTGTTGTGTTAGATGCTTTTCCTTGTAGGACTAAATTAAAATTAAAGCTGATGGTTATTACCCCGTTCGATCAAAGTTCGAAAAGGGGGACTTTTAGTCCGTCCGTCCGTATTTTCGAACCCTCTTGACCGATTCCGTTCATTTTTTTCATGTACCTAATACTTTATGTTGAACATATGCACATGTAATGGTTTAACGATTCGATCTAAGATAGCCGACTGGAAATGTGTTATCTTAGACAAATTTGGTACATACATTATGCATGTTGGGATACATGTAAAGATTTGTTTTGAGATGTGCCGACTGACACCCATATGCATAATTTTCATTGATATTTAGTACATGTGTCATAAATGTCATTACATATGTCATAAATGTCATGAATAAATGTTCATTTTGTGATTTGATTAAAGTAAACGTCATTATAGCTGTTTTGTGTGACATTTATCTCCATTGAATTTTGATGAAATGAATGTAAAACATAGAAACAATTAAATGTGTGATTAGATAAAAGACAACACGCTTCTTGTTTTATGGCCATATTAATTATCTTTGGCATGAATACTATTTCTTCTAATTGTAACGGGGACTGTGTCATTAACAATGACTTGTGTTCATTGTTATAATGTCTTCACAGGTTGCCTTCAAGGGATTTGAACCAAGTAATGCTGCCATACTCACATTGTTTGATTCATTGTGTTTTGACTGTGATTGGACAGGAAAATGTAAACGAAAGGTAAATACAAATCAAGTATAATTGTTTCGACAGAATGGGTTCGTTGAATTGCATGACTTACAAAATTACACTTCTTTTTCGCTCGTATAGAACGCGACGTGTTTTATAGAAGGACAATGCTTTAGCAATTTTGAACGAGATATCAAGAATCCAATGTGCCATGAGTGCAATGCAGACATTAACCCATTTGATTGGTCAATAAGTCAAGGTTGGTAGGTAATTAATACTGTATTCAAATACTGTATGTTAATTTTTGATTAGTATTTATGATATATGAATGAATATGATTTGATTTATAATGGATGTTTGATTTATTAAAAATAAAAATGATTAACAGATTTTTCGTGAATATAAACATACAATCTATTATTAATAAGCTTATGTTCTACTGCTATACTACGTAACGTAAGCCAATGGGCATGTCATGAAAATTTATAGTTATCGAGAGCGTTTGCCAAAAAACAGATAGTAACATACATTGCATTTCTGTCAATGGTGTAAAGTTCTGCAGCATGACAAAAGCTCATCGGTAATTACTGTAGGTGGTATGATACAATTTCAATTTGTATTTTGTGATATATTCAAAGCGTAAAATGAAATTCGCTGTACCAATTGTAATTTGTGTTCACCAATGATAGTACCAAAATAATAATAATAATTATAATAATAATATAACTATAACATCACCAAGAGAACATAATCGAAGATAGCATCAATTTAACAGCATCGTTCATTCAATTCATTAAACTGGATTTGCAGACAATAAGGCTCCTATTCTGGAGATTCCAGGAGAAGAACTTTCAACCGTAGTTGGTGTTGAATTTGTTCATCAGATATTTGCAACTGACCCAGATGGTACCAGTGTGCTGTTCCAACTTGTAGACGAAAAATCTGGACTAACGTTATCAAAGTCAGGTTTATTAACTTGGAAATCACAATCACCAGGGGCAATCAACGTATCAGTAAAAGTAACCGATGATTGTAGTATGTCAATATATTACAGTTTACAGGTTAGTCACTTATATTACTACTAAAACTACACGTTTCAGTTAAAGATAACGTTTATTTGGTGTTTGAAAGATATGAGCATTGTTGTGTGATTTATGAGTGCATATGGTGGATATTGTTGGATGTTTATTAATTGTAAAATAATATTTTTACATCTGACATGTTGTTCTTGTGTTTCTTATTTTTCTCACAGATACTAGCTTATCCATGTGATTGTAAAAATGGAGGTTTTTGTGTTTCAGCAGATAGTACCCAGTATGCGTGTGCCTGTCCATTGGAATTCATGGGTGATCTCTGTGAAATTAATGCATTGACCTGTGCTTCATCTCCTTGTTCTCACGGTAACTGCATCAATGAAATTGATGGATATTCATGTATATGTGCACCGGGTTATACAGGTAAGACCGTGACTGACTAATATATAATTATCATAATATTTGAATGTTGTGAATTAAAAAAAACAAATTATTCTTTAAATTTCAATATAACCATGTTAATAGGTACAGACTGTGAAATCCCAGATGGAATGTCATGTGATCCTAATCCATGTTTCAAAGGCGTGACATGCTTAATCCACGAAGGCATTATATCATGCGATGTATGTCCTGCTGGAATGGTTGGAGATGGTTTCACGTGTTCAGGTAATCTTTATTACATTGGTCGTTCTGGATGAACTCACACTGTATACCTTCTGACCACGATCAATATATTACTATCATAATCATTTTACATATCCCTAACCTAATATTAAGACAAATACAAGTAATATAGGTGGATACAACAACTTATATCTGTTTTATGTGAGATACATTAAACCAATGTCCATTATTTAGATGCGTACATGACAAAAATCAACATCTGACATTATTAGTCCCCGGCGACTTATGTTTTGACCTCCGTGTGTCCGTGCGTCCGTGTGTGCGTGCGTCCGGACCTGTATCTTAGAAATGCCTGGACCAATCACAGTCAAACTACACACATACATCATACAATATATTATACATATGCACGTCAATTTGTTTGCACGATCTGATTCAAGATGGCCGAATGGTGGCCATTTTTGTGCTGAAAAATCATCAAAATCAAGCATTTCTCAGCTGTTTACAGGTGGATTTTGTTGAAACGTGTTATATACGTTGGACATTACAGGACGTTGATGCACATCCTTTTGTTTTTCAGATAAGATTCAAAATGACCGCTGGCAGCCATTTTGTTTTAATGAATGTGGTTTTAGTGCCATAAATATGACCTGCTTTGACTGATTATGTTCAAATTTCAAATATTCAAAATACATCATGTCAGATATACAGATATATTGGTTTGACAATCCTATTAAAAATGGCCGAATAGTGGCCATTTTTGTGCTAAAAAATCATCAAAATTAACCATTTCCCGGCTGTTTATAGATTATTTTTCTTCAAACATTATATATACGTTGGACATTATATGATCTTGATGCACATCATTTTGTTTTTCAGATACATGTAAGATTCAAAATGGCCGACTGGCAGCCATTTTGGTTTAATGAATGTGGTTCTAGTGCCATATCTCTGACTTGCTTTGACTGATTATGTTAAAATTTTAAATATTTATTATAAATCATTACGGGTTCCTGATGCATGTAATTTTATTTTTCAGATCGGATTTAAAATGGCCGACTGGTGGCCATCATGTATTAATGAATGCAGTCCTAGTGCCATATTTTTGACATGCTTTGACTGATTATGTTCAAATTTTATATATTTATTATACATGTATTCAAAATGGCTGAGTTTGATTTTAATAATGCTGTTCTATAGCAAAATCTCTCAATACTCGTTTGATACAAATGTCAATCATTTTAATATTAAACAATCATCATAATCATATCTCTGACATGTTTATGTTCCAGCTATATTACTATAAACAAAACTATACTATATATCATAAATTCGATAACTAACGGGGACTGTGCCACGCATGGCTTGTTATACTTGAAATCTCTTAAATGGAATATATAAATATGTTTTCTTATAGAAATGTGCAACAGACCATGTCCATTAAACTCGTATTGTGCTGCCCCTAATATGTGTAAATGTACTCCAGGATATGTTGGATTTGGATGTCATATAGGTACTCACTTCCAATTATGTATTATTTTTTTCAAACATATATACTTGTTCTGTATTCATACTTACTAGCTTTACCAGTATGTAGTATCAGTCACGTTCATATAAACACCATATTAACTTTATTTCAGCCATGTGTCGTCCTGATTGTCAAAATGGTGGTCGGTGCATAAAACCGAATGTATGTTCTTGTATGATAGGGTATACTGGTAATTACTGCCAACTACGTGAGTATAATTCCTAATTCAATTTAAATTTGTTTGTTATTCGTATACTGTAAATATATTTTGTTATATAACGATATGTATATATATATATATATCCACAGCTATTTGCTCACCACCATGTCAGAATGATGGAAAATGTGTAGCGAGAAATGTATGTTCTTGTAATTATGGATATATAGGGCCAAGATGTGGGACAAGTAAGTATTCGTCGATCATGGCAGGTCCATATACGCATATACACCAGGCGTATATTTGGACAAGTAAATATTATATACTCATTTATGTTAACTGGTAAGTCTTAATACTAATCTGCTTTTCGAGGATGTGAAAAATTATGTCTATACATACATGTATATAAAGGTTGTAGATATGAAAAATAAGTTTATAGACATATATAAATAGGTACTATGTACCTAAATAGATGTGGATAAGTAAGACGATATACTTATTGTATATCATGACTTAAAATCTATACTTCTTTATACTGATCGTAGATGTAGACAAGTAAGTAGACATATGTTCATTAGTTACTGGTGGGTCTTAAGATTGTGCTGATTGCAAAGGAAACTTTATTTTAAATTAAGAACTCATAAAAAGACATGCATATTTCGCAATTTCATTTCGTGACATATAGTGTAACTCGCCTTGTCATAGACAATGAGTATAAGAATGTACTTATATGTATAAATAAAAAGCGGTCATATTCTAAACTTAATCTTCCAAATGTGTTTTATTTTCAGTGACATGTAATAAACATTGCGAAAATGGAGGTGTGTGTTCTTCACCAGACGTATGTCACTGCCAGCCTGGTTGGACTGGGCCTACCTGTGCACTTGGTATGCTAAACTTCTATAAATATATATATATATATATATATATTGTTGTCTTTTTGAGCCGAAAGGCTGCTTGTTTTGATTACTAGCTACACTTCATTGTTGGCTCGCTACATTTGTTGTTCACAACCTACTTTTGGTTTGTTCACAAGACACACTCTTTTGTTTACTCTCTACATTTTGTTTACATTTTTGTTGTTATTTTTGTTTTTTAACAGCCGTTTGTCTTCCACATTGTAAAAATGGTGGCATGTGTGTCCGTCCTAATCAGTGTTTATGTTACAATGGCTTTTATGGACACAGCTGTGAAATGGGTAATTATAGTATATATTTATAGGTTCGTGAATCTTGGTTAACGACATTCTTGTTTGTAGTTACAGTTCACGTTATTGCCGTTGTACCCGAACCTATGAGGTGCTACTAAATATACAAATAAATACAAAAGCTTAATGGGATTGCATTCATTCATAGGAATCTGCTTTCCATCGTGCAAAAATGGTGGCACATGCACACGGCTTAATATGTGTACCTGTCCTGTTGGTTATTATGGTAGAAGATGTGAAAAGGGTAAGTAAATATGTGAATTCAACGGTGAGATCTACTTGAATCTTTACTGTGGATGAGATGTTTTCTGATTTGTATAAAGAACAGTGAGAACTGTGTGTATATGGTATATTTACTATTGGTAAGATTCATATAAGGATAATTGTACACAAAACTTAAGTTAACCTGGAAGTTACGTAACACGCGCAATATTGTATTTTGATTACTTCGAATAGACTCAAGTCATTGTAGCTTCTCATAGTATACGTTCATGTATTGTGCGCTTAACAATGACTATAACATTGCTCTATTGAATACATTGGTTGTTATGCAGGTTGTCAGTCTGTGCAAAACAGAATATTGTTATTGATTTCAGTTCGATGTGAACCACGATGTCAAAATGGTGGTAAATGTGTGAAACCCAATCAATGTTCCTGTCCATCCGGATACAGAGGGGGAAAATGCCATCGAGGTACTTTACGCTATCTCAATATTAATTGTTCTAACTATGTTAATAATTTATAAGTTTGATTCATTCTAGTGTGTAGCACACCTACTACTTGATACTATACTTTATTATACAGCTATATGCGTATCTGGATGTGGTCAAAATGGTATGTGTGTTCAGCCAAATGTATGTGCCTGTCAGCAAGGATTTACAGGATTAAATTGTCAAACACGTAAGTGTATATAAAACTATACACTCGAACCAGTGTTATTATTTTGTGTGCATTTGACTTAAGTTTAAGAATGCGTTGTTACATATATTTGTGAGTAGCAAATGAACTGTATCCAATGCGTTGGTGCTGGAAAACAAATTGTCCAATGTATATATATATATATATATATATATATATATATATATATATATATATATATATATATATATATATATATATATATATATATATATATATATATATATATATATATATATATATATATATATATATATATATATATATATATATATATATATATATATATATATATATATATATATATATATATATATATATATATATATATATATATATATATATATATA